TATATATATATATCAGCAAATCTCTAATCTTTAGTCTTTATTCCAGGGATTTCAAGAAAGCAGCAGCTGTATTTAGTTTGGAAATGGCTTCTTCCACTTAATTGATCCTTGGAGAATCAGTTTGTTAAGTTTCACCACAAGAGATTATCTTATTGGCCAGAAGAGAGGGTTCGATGAAGGCAGTTAGGACAAACGTTTGTAATTTCATTATCTTCTTGTTAGGATAATGGAATAGAACAGCCCTCGTGAGTTAACTGGTCCATCAGTTACCAAATGTGAGTGATCATTCAGCAGCTTGCGAGTATACTGACGACATTACTCTCCGCGGTGATCTAGACAGTGGAGCCATTAAGAAGTAAACACGAGTTGAGTGACGAATAATCATTCTCAGCAGGTTTTACTCAAATAGATAATAGTTTGTATAATCTACGTTTTGATATGCACAACACTTCTTAAATGAAAACAGCCTCAAACCTGGACGAAGTTCATTATGCTATCTCTCTGCTCTATTTTCATAGCAATTTTGGTATTTCGAACATTTGAATTTGTGTACGCAGATGATAAAGCGGTAAGCCTACAGTTTACGTCACATCCAACAGACAATGATGCAATTGAAGGCACTAAGACGTTATTAAGCTGCTATGTTGAGGGCCTAAGTCAGGGTATGGTCGTATCATGGATGAGGGATGACACACGTTTAAGCAAAGGTACAGAATTATTAAACAATCCAAATAAGAAACGTTACAAGTTGGAGGTTAATAATTCAGGACATATGTACATTATTTTCATCGACCCAGTCCAAATGTCCGATGCAGATCATCTGTTCTTTTGTGCGGTATATAAAAATGATGTTGAATTACTTAAGTCAAAAAAATGCAGGTTAAATATAAAACAAGTTCCATCTTTACAGTTTCCACAGTGCTCGATGAGCAAGCCAAGTTACATTGAAAATGATAGAGCGACAGTCACATGTATGACAGAGGATGTTGATCCGGAACCTACAATCACTTTGATGTACGAAAACAGGCCCGTTACGAAAGCAATTAAGGAAAAATCAGACGGTCATGTTACAAAAAAATATACGTTCACAGTGGATCGAAAATATGATGGGAAAACGATTATTTGTTCACAGAGAACTACAGCTGTTCAATCATCCGAGTTGCGGAATTGTAGCGCTGGTCCTTTTAGGATCAAGTACAAACCTAATGTCACAATACAAGGTAATCTGTATCACCACATTGGTAAAGAGGAACTTTACGTGTGCAGGGCCGATGCAAAACCGGCCGCAAATATGTACTTATGGTCTTTTGAACCAAATCTCCCATCGGAATACCACAAAATAGAAAACAATGATCAAGTTTTGCGCCTTAACATTCCAGATAATTATAACGGTACAACGATTCGCTGTGAGGTTTACAATTCTGTTGGAAGCAGCATGCAAGAGATTCAAATCTTTACGTATTATGACCCGTCAGACCCGACATTTACTGTGGAAAAGGTAGGTTCAAGCAATGACTTCACTAACAATAAAAATCCTGGTTCGTCCGTAGACTCCACAACTATGTTATCCATTGCTGGTAGTGCATTAATGCTCACTGCTTTATTGATTGGAATATTATTATGTTATTTTCAAATCTGTAAAATACAAAGGAATTCTTTGACGGCATCAGGATATAGAATTGCACAACCAGAAGTTTACTTTGTTCCCAAGGACAGTATTGCACCGTCAGTACAGAACTGCGACTGCAACGATTGGAAACGAACAGTAGGCATACAAGTTCCCACTGACTTAGATATTGAGTCTGTCTACATGGATATTGAAGATGGTAAAAAAACATGTTCACATAAATCGGTGTGAATAATACAAATTTTGTTTGTTTTGAGATTGTTGTGTAAAGAATATGTATATATGTTTTTGCTGCAAAAAAATAGAAGTTGTGTACCATGAAGATATATTTGGATTTGGATATTATTAGAGAGCAGATATGAAGGTCATTTTTTAACAAAGATTATTTGTATAATAGGTAATATACACATTAGTTCCAAGTAGAAAATTGCGATTGGAAAACAAGGGCTTAATCTAAAGGAAAATGGTGTTAATGTCGATTAGCATAAGACCATGTGTGTACCAATTAATTTTGTTAGAGCAATTTTCCAATATATTTGAATTTTAAGTGTAATTACACAATGCTAATCCGGTCTTTATAGCTCATAGAGTTAATCTTTTAAGAAATTGTGAATTAACTCCACATAAAAATGCAAAAAACTTAATTTGTTTTGAAATATGTTTCCATGGTTAAATGTCTCAATAAAATATGTCATTGAATTTTGATTATAACATAATAAAGAAAATAAATAACAAAAATCTCAAAATGTTAATAAAATATATTGAGAAGACATCCAATGACATTCCACAACTTAATATTATTTTGCACAACCCATCAAAACACCAATAAAAGGGAATTAATCACATTTTTATGATGCTTATACTGTTATCTTGCATTTAAAGTTTAATAGAAAAATGGTGCTGAAAATTCAACCAGAACAACAAGAATAGTTGAAGATAAATTGTTTCCAAGTACTACAGTAAATGCATCAATTTAACAATTACATGCAAGATTTATTCTTTTATGGAGGAAAAAATAATACTTTAATAATATGTCTGATTCTATAGTGCATAAGGCCAAGGACTTTATGCTCATAAAATAATTACCCAAGTCATAGGATAACACCTATGAAACACACACTCTGGTCCCTTGGGGGGAGTATCCCATAATGTTGCTGTTAAAGTAAGTGTGCATTGGCATTTGAACTCAGAGAAGACTTTTTTATACCTTGTTTAGTGAACACACTGCCCGCCAATGAAGATGATTTCAAATAAAAATAAAATTTTATTTTTAGCCAATCAACGCACTTGTCGCCATAAAAAATGGAAATTTCAGAATAAAATAAAAGTTTTCCTTTATTTTATTATGCCCACTGCTACATTGTTTTCCCCATAAATGTATATTTCTTCCTAACTATAGAAATTTAAAGCATTTAACCATCCTATTACTACATTGTTTACATGCACCAATAAAATTGTATTTTTATTTTCACCTCCAGCCATCTGGATGTTTTTGGCAAAACTATTTCCTAAATAAGAAAACAAAATTTTACTTTTATTTTTTTTCTGCCCTCTGACTATCTTAAAAATGCATAAGTTTGTGAAACAAGGTATAAAAAACCCTTGCCTTAGGTACCACTTACTCTACACTCTGGAATTGGAATATAGCAAAACAATATGGTAAAAATGATAATTATTACAATATACATACAGCTGGTAAAAATGCATTTATACATTAATTTTGCATTAAGGCATAATAAGAATGTGTACTAGGCCTATATATAATGTATATATGAAATAAGTGGACCAAATGCCTCTGAAAGCATATGTTGAATAAATTAACTATACAAGTTTTAAATGTAGTTTTCTGACCATTTTTTTTTATCATACGTTACAATTTGGCTGGTTGATCGTCATATCAAACTATCCCTTTCGCCCAGATTAGGTAGTAGGGAGAGCTTTTGATTGCACGACGACAGTAGGACAAAGAACGTAATGACGTCACTAAAAGTCACCTGAGCATGTGAAAATGTTAAATTCTCCTCATTGTGTTGAATTCTAGGACGCAATTTGGCCAAATCTATGTATACAGAGAACGTAGGGTGCTCGGTACTGCAGTCATGCATGAGTGATTCCATTCTAGCGTTGCGTCGTCGTACAAATTAAAAGCTCCCTTATATTTATTCATCATTTTCTTTATATGAAAATCTTCCAGCTTTACTCATAAATTGCAAATAGATATACAGTACAATAACCATCTCTTTGGCTTACTGTATCACGAAAATTGTTTGACTAAATTTTTCAAATTAAACATCATGCTTAATATATAAGAATATAAGAGTGGTATTACCAGCAAAGTAGTATTTATAATAATGTAAGCGTGCAATTACAGTGCACTCTCTAATTTGAGACCCCTCTAATTTGAGACCATTTAAAAAAATAAACCAAATATTAACAATCTTCAATTCACAACGCTAGTCCTTTAATTGGAGATGGAACCCCAAGACTACTGAAATTTTTAGATTCCAAAGGTACTCTTGAATTGGAGGGTGAACTGTATTCAATTTTTTCAAGGGGAAGAACAGGAAAAAGAGAGGTGATGTGGTAGAATGACCAGACTCTTTGAGACATGACAGATGGGGGCAGGCAGAGTTGCTGTAAAGGCATTTAATGCTGATATAAACACATTTCGTTAGTTCAATCATCGGACAATGATCAGCGAATTTGATCAAAATTGTATTGATATGCAATATATATTTTGTCTTAGTAACAAAGACAGAAGCTATTGGAAGCCAGATGAAAGTACTCAAACACTTACGGATTTGTTTTATAGCAGATACAAGATACAATATGAACCACTGCCACTGGGGATTTGGCAGCTGCACTACCTCCAGCTACCACCTTTAATGACCTTGAGTATACAGTAGTAGGAAGTCAATGTAGAACTGACACAAACACATCGAAATAGCATTTGCAGTACCTACGACTACTAGTGGATCAAACTCAACACTAGTCACTAAGCACAATCTCGGTGGTCTACTGGTTATGACACCTGGAGGACGTGGGTTCAATTCCTGCCCAAATCACTTACAAATTTTTTTTGCTAGTATTTGGGAACGTACTGAGTATTCAGTACGATTACTAGTCAGGTAGGGCAAAACATCACTCTTACAGTAGGAAGTTCTTAGAAATATGTTCGTTTTTAACAACTACAATAAATATAAAATATTCTTTACTTCTTGTTTGTGTTGATTGTACTGTTATTAATTCATTAGAAAGTGTATATCTTACCACATAGATCTCAAATTTGCATATCCTTAGTGTTGGAGCTAATGCCCTTACGAAGTCAAAGAAAAGCTGTATAGACAATTTAGCATTCTGTCCCCATAAATATCCATTGCCACTCATTTATGTTCAAGTATTATTTTCGTTTGGGTTAAATGAGACAGTTTTGAATGTCCTTTTTCATATCCGTATCAATTTTGTTTTTAAATGTATTATTATATATTCCATGATGTATAGCGCTGCTATATATATGTTTATGAATATTTTAAATAAATTATGAACATAGAAGTCTCCACTGCATTTTAAATTAGGCATTAAATGAGATTCTTTAGTGTCTGACCAAGCCAGTCACTTTATGTAAACCAACCAAAATCAAATAACATGCTCAGCTTGATCACCTTATCGTGATCACCTTATCGTGATCTAGTGGAGCATGTTGATTCATCATGATTAAACTTGGTTAACATGATAAATTAATTCATGAGATCAAATGCAACCAATCAGCCTTCAGTTTATTAAACAGATCCCAACCTCATTGGTTGTGCTTCTGGTAGGTCCCAACCTCATTGGTTGTGCTTCTGGTAGTTTTTCATGCAACACTGCACACATTAGCATAAATAGATCATGATGATGGTTTCTATATGAACGGTTTTCTCTAACATGCTAATGTTATCATGATGAATAGATCATGATAAGTTTATCACTAATAACTTGTGTGATAAACTTATCATGATAAGTTTATCACTAATAACTTATGTGAACGTGTCTAATCAAAGTGGATACATTAGAAAGCATCAAAGTCTATCATACAATTAGTGGTATTCTAAGTACATATGGAAGTATGTGAAGCAGTGACAAAATTATGACACGATACAGTGATGTTAGGATTTTATTCTCTACTATCAAAATAAACTTTTGTTACACTTCAGATGTGCTTTGCATTTGTAGACAGGTGTTCTGGCTTTCCAACTGAATAGTCAAAGGTTGAGTATAAATTGGTTACCTTGCATGAGTACTTGGGAAAATGTGCATTTCCTTTCATGTAGGAGAATAAAAAAAATAGGCTCCAGACAGGAGCATGAGTATACTGCATGAGTATTACTCTAAACATAGTCCATTATCTGTACAAGGTGCTATCAGTCATTGGTCATTGTCAAAATGTGGGACTAAACAACTCCCTGTTAAAACTACATTCACACTGTACTTGGAATGATGAACCTTAACTCATTCAATTGTACAGAAAAATTAAACAACCACAGCATTGAGTGTATCTGCCCAAGTGCAGTATACTAAAAAATTGTGTCTGGTAGATATCTGGAATGAATTTCAAGCAGGATATCCTTTCCACATCCCAGTGGCCAGGGAATAATAATAAGTGCCATGATAAAATAGTGCTATAGGTCAAGAAAATATTACATACTTGATACTTGATGGGATAATCCCCTTGCAGATAATTATTATCTGAATCTATATACTATGATGGGTGCGTAAAGTGACGTCAACCGTCAGGGTGCAGAACAAAAAAGAAATGACAGATGAACACTAAAAATGACAAAGCATTGAATGCACTATTATACAATTACTACTACTATTTATAGAGCCAAATTAAATAATATTCAAATGGCAACATACAGTAAATGCTTGAATAAGCGCCGCTCTCAAATAAACGGCGCTTTCGAATAAGCGCCGCACAAACAAAACATGATTTTTTTTCGCTAGCCGCCACTCTCGAATAAGTCTCCAAAAAATGCAGCACTTATTCGAGCATTTACAGTACATTCTTCTAACTAAATGATGAAACTAATTTAAAACACTTCATGTTCATGAAATACCATGGTCAGGAAGTTTTGACATTTTTGACCTTTTGACATTTTACTCCAAAATTTAATAACCTCTTTCTTATATTAGTATGTACCACTATACAAAATCTTATCATTTATTTACTTTTTGCGTAATTCCTTGCAATCAGACAGACAAACAGCAATGAATATTTAATTTTGGTGGAGGTAATGATAAACAAATTACATTCAAATAAATTAAAACTCAATTTAAAGCATATTTAGATATAAAATATATAGTTTGTTTCTCTTGCATAGTTTCAGGAATTGTGGCAAACAGTTACAAGTAGAATAAATCCAAACTTCCAAGTTGAATGGGGACAAATTAAGTACTACTATTAAAATAAATATAACTTATTTTACGTTTAAAAAAATTAACAATTTAAAAACTAATCAATAAAATAATATTGAAATTGTCCAAGTGGAAATATTGCTTGTTCCTCCTGGTGAATATATACAAATTGAGGCTCCATTTATTAGAGTATTCGATCAGCATTATTCTAGAAACTAGTTTATCTGCAACATAATCAATTTATTTTTAGCATGTGCCTTAAATTGAAATTTTCTTGTACAGTGTAAACAATTTATAGTCAATGATCGTATGTGTACAAAATTGATTTGAGTGCAAATATTAATATGTGCAACTCATATTAAATCATAATGAACCAGATATTTTTAAAGTGACATCTAATATGTGAAAAGAATATTTATACTCTAAATTTCATTCATTTGTTTCTATTATTATTATTATTTTTATTATTATGTTATTATTTATATTATTATATTACTGTACTATATACCATTACAC